GTTTCATCATCGACACCGGTTCGTGTGAGAATGTGGTGGCTCAAGAGGCCGTCTATCGCCTTAAGCTGTCCACCGAACCACATCCTCATCCTTACACGTTGGCATGGATCCAGCGGGGCAGTTCCATTACGGTAGATCGTTGGGTTTTGGTGCAATTTTCCATCGACCCTAAGTTTCGGGACACGGTGTGGTGTGACGTGGTCCATATGGACGCTTGCCATCTTTTGTTGGGCCGTCCTTGGCAGTTCGACCGTGCGGTCGTCTATGACGGGCGCCAGAACACTTATAGCTTTTTGTTTGAGGGCACTCGTTTGGTACTCCATCTTTCCCCTCCTCGTACTTTGTCTACTGATCCTTCTTCGTCGGTTCTTTTTCTATCTCGTGCAGCTTTCGTCAGTGAAATGCAGAACTCGCCTTTTGTGCTTTTGCTTCTGGGGATCGACATAGGGACCGAGGGGTCGCCTCCCCCCGTTATTCAGCAATTACTTGATGAGTTCTCGGATGTTTTCCCTGCGGAGCTACCGGTAGGTCTTCCACCTCTTCGAGACATCCAGCACCAGATTGAGTTGGTCCCCGGGGCTTCTCTGCCTAACCGTCCCCATTATCGCATGAGCCCGGCAGAACATGAGAAGTTGCGTCGCCAGGTGGAGGACCTTTTGCAGCGTGGTGTTGTCCGCCGTAGCTTGAGCCCGTGTGCTATCCCGGCCCTCCTCATTCCGAAGAAGGACAGTTCATGGCGTATGTGTGTTGATAGTCGGGCCATTAACAAAATCACGGTTCGTTATCGTTTTCCTATTCCCCGACTTGATGATCTGTAGGACCAATTGCATGGTGCTACCGTCTTTACCAAGTTGGACCTCCGAAGTGGCTATAATTAGATTCGCATACGACTAGACGACGAGTGGAAAACAGCTTTTAAGATTCGTGAGGGTCTTTTTGAGTGGCTTGTGATGCCATTCGGTCTTTCGAATGCCCCCAGTACTTTCATGCGAGTGATGAACCAGGCTTTACGGGACCTCATTGGGCATTGTGTCGTCGTCTATTTCGACGATATTCTCATCTTTAGTCGGACTGTAGAGGACCACTTGTCTCATGTTCGCTCGGTTCTTCAGATTTTGCGGGTGGAGCGTTTTTATGCGGCGCCCAGTAAGTGTTCTTTTGTCGTCGACTCGGTTCTTTTCTTGGGATTCTTTATTTCTGCTGACAGCATTCGGGTGGATGATAGCAAGGTCACTTCCATTCGCGACTGGCCCACGCCGACTTCTTTCACGGAGGCTCGCAGCTTCCACGGGCTTGCCTCCTTCTACCGTCGTTTCATCTCTCACTTCAGCTCCATTATTGCACCTATTACGGATTGCCTTCATGGCAAGACGTTCACTTGGATGCCTCAGGCAGCGGCGACTTTCGACCTTATCAAAGGCAAGCTTACCTCCGCTCCGGTTCTGGCTCTGCCCGACTTCTCTATTCCCTTCGAGCTTTCTTGTGATGCGTCCAAGGTGGGCATCGACGCGGTTCTTAGTCAGAGTGGGCGGCCCATGGCCTTCTTCAGCGAGAAATTATCGGGGCCTCGCCTCCGTTACAACACCTATGATGTTGAGTTCTACGCTGTTTACCGTGCTGTTCGACATTGGCGCCACTATCTCTTTCAGCGCGAGTTTATTCTTTTTACCGACCACGAAGCTTTGCGCCATCTCTCGTCTCAGGAAAACATTTCACCCCGCCATGCGACTTGGACTTCTTATTTGCAGCAATTTACTTTCGTTCTCAAGCATCGTTCAGGGGCGTCTAACCGCGTGGCGGATGCGTTGAGCCGCCGTTCGTTATTGCTTACGGACATGCGGGTTGCGATTGTCAGTTTTGACTTGCTGCGTGATCTTTATGCTTTGGATGTTTTCTTCGGGCCCGTGGTGTCGCGCCTTTCCTCGGGCCCTTTTGAGGATTATACGCTCTCTGATGGTTTTTTGTTTCGTGGGGTTCAGTTGTGTGTTCCTGCTTGTAGCCTTCGCCTTAAGGTTGTGCCTAATTTGCATGGCGTTGGGCACGTGGGGCGTGATCGCTCCATCGCCTTGGTACGTCGTTCCTTTTTCTGGCCTTCTTTACGTCGTGATGTTTCTCGTTTTGTGGAGCGGTGTCGTGTTTGTCAGGTGTCCAAGGGCGTGGCTTCTAACGCTGGGCTTTACTGGCCATTGCCTATTCCCTCTCGTCTGTGGAGTGCCATTAGCATGGACTTCGTGTTGGGTCTACCCCGGACTCAGCGGGGTCACGACTCTATCTTTGTGGTGGTCGATCGCTTTTCGAAGATGGTCCATTTCATTCCGTGCAAACGGACGGCTGTCCATGTGGCTCAGCTTTTCTTTCGCGAGGTGTATCGTTTGAATGGTCTTCCCACTTCTATTGTTTCGGACCGCGACACACGCTTTCTTAGCCATTTTTGGCGTAGTTTATGGCGCTTGGCTGACACGAAATTGGAATTCAGTAGTGCTTACCACCCACAGACTGACGGGCAGACGGAGGTCGTGAATCGTTCCCTCGGGAATTTGTTGCGTTGTCTCGTGGGGGAGAACTTACGTAGTTGGGATCAGAAGTTGGGCCAGGCCGAGTTTGCTCACAATTCGGCTTTGAGTCGAGCTACTGGGTTCTCTCCTTTTGAGGTGGTCTACGCGGCGCGGCCACGAGGGGCCGCATACCTCATCGCCCTTCCTTCGTCCGAGAGCGCAGACCGCCGTGCCGAGGACTTCATGGTCGATCTCCGGCGGACTCAGGAAGCGGCCCGGGAACGTCTGGTGAAGGTCACGGCGGCGTATAAGCGGCGTGTGGATTCCTGTCGCCGTCACGTCGAGTTCAAGGTCGGGGATTTTGTGTGGGCTGTCCTCACCAAGGACCGTTTCTCGGCGCATGACTACAACAAGTTATCGGCTCGTAAGATTGGCCCGGTTGAGATCATTGAGAAGATCAATCCAAATGCCTATCGCCTCCGGCTTCCTTCGCACTTGAGGACCTTTGATGTGTTCAATGTTAAGCATCTCGTGCCATTTGTGGGTGATAATTCGGACGAAGACGAGATCGATCCAGATTCGAGGGCGAATCCTTCCCAACCGAGGGAGGATGATGGAGACGAGATCGCATTGGCATTTATGCAGAAATACGACCGGATGCCTTCTTTAGTCTAGTTATTTATTTCCTAGCTTTTATTATTATTCCATGTTTTATTTAATATTTATTTAAGTATTATTCCCTTGTTTAGGATGTTTAGGAAACCTAGGATTTAGAGACTATTTATTTCCTTCTTCTCTCTTATGAAAATCTGTTTATCGTGAAATAAAATTACTGTTTGGGAGATTTTATCTCTTTGTTCCCTTTTGTTCGACGCTGCGCTACATCAATCACTCTCAAACTTAAAAAAAAAAAAGAAAAAAAGAAGAAGAAGAAGAGAGATTTCATGTGTTTATATTTCAAATTAACATCAAAAAAAATAAGTTTTTGGGTAGAGAATTTGATTTATATTGAATTTTTACACAACATTCCATAGCATTTCTGTTTATGAAAGCTTATCAAATAAATATTTTTTAAGAAAAAATATATAAAATTAAAAATTTACAATTACACAAAAAAAGAGAGTAAAAATCAACATAAAAAATGTAACATTCCAATCAATAAATACTCGGTTTTATAAATCACTAAATCAATTTACAAATAAGAGACCAAAAGAGAATCATTATAAATATTTTCAAAAGCTTAACTAAATATTTAAAATATTAGGATTGTTATTATATTTTTCAATAAATAAATAATGTTATTAAGTTAAATAAAAATAGCATATGAAATAAGTGTTAATTAGTACTATATTGTAAATATTTTTTACATTTCTATACATATTTTATACTATTTTCTTAATTTATATATATATTGATTTTTGATAAATTTAATTATTAATATATAATAAATTATATATATATATTGATTTTTTTTTTAATGAGGGGGGCCCAGGGACTTCCCTGGTCCCCATGTAGCTCCGCCCCTGGCCACGGCAGACACGACTCTTTCGAGCTCGGCCATGGCCTTGTGTCAGGCTGAGACTTTTCCCAGCCTCATGCACCCGTAGATCGAAAAAA